TATTTTACTCTCTGTCCAAAACCAATATATTATATTTTTAGATTTTGTTGGAATGTTTAAGGGTTTTTAATTTTTATTAATTTAACCCAAGACAAAACCATAGATACTTGGCTTAATTATATATATATATATATATACTTTCTTTTTATTTACAAATGGGTCGGGCCGAACAAATTCATTTATGGCAATGGGCCGAAACCCACATCGGATGTCCTCCGCCCAAATTTGGCTCCAAAAATTATCGAAAGAAATGAAAAACATATGGATTAGAATTATATATATAACCAAAAACTAGCCTAAATTATAATTTCCTTTTTGAAATTTCAATTAATCTGATTCCGAATTGCAATAGCAGAAGGATGTTAATCGCGTTGTAACTTCTTGAAAATAAATAAGCCTTCAAACACAATTAGAAAGAAGCGCTGCAAAAGGATCGAATCTTGAACACCGTAGGCGACTGAGCGGGTTAAACTCCAACTCCTCCATCTAATAATTGGAAATAGTATTCTGAATGGAGAAGGGCAAAGGATTGATGGTGGACGGCCGGCGATGGGCCGTTGATTTCTCCGACAATTCTTCGTCGAACTCGACTCGCGACATTGTTGATCCTCCTGGTTTCACCCGTGCTTCTCAAGATCAGGACGATTCGACTCTCAGCCGCCAAAAGAAGGATGCCGAATCCAATTGGAAGGCACAGGTGTTACTCGAAATTCTATAATTTCAGTGGATTAGGGTTTTTTGTTTTTTCATTCTTTTAATTTCCTACTCGGATGCTATTTTGAGATTGTTCGTGCTTAGTTTTTCACGTATCTCGCTGGATTGTAGTATTACCGTTTTTTTAAGCATTTCCGATCGACTGTTGAATCTGCGAGTAGTTTGAGTTTTGAAGTAAGTAAATTCTAAGCATGCTCAAATGTCAACGAACTATCACAATGCTTTCTTTCTATTTTTTTTAATAAAATAAAAAAGTTGATCAAGGTTTTAATCTGGATGAATCTTTGTTCCACGATGTTTAATTCTACGTCTCTGCGCTCCTGCTGGTCTTTTTTACCGTCAACATGAATTTTATTGTCAAATGTAGTAATCTAACCGTAGAATATACGAGCAGAAAGCTTGGGAAGTGGCCCAGGCGCCTTTGAAGAATTTGTTCATGATGGGCTTCATGATGTGGATGGCTGGTCGCACTGTTCATTTATTTAGCATTGGTATCACATTTTCAGCTCTTTGGCAACCCATAAGCGCCCTGCAAGGCGTTGGAAAGGGTAGGATTAATATCCATTCTCATTTATTTAGCATTGGGGTTTTTTTTCCATTTTTATTGTTGACTATTGTACCTCTCCTTGTCTGATTTTGCATTAAGCTGGCTTGTAATGGCCAATCTGAATGACTCAGCTTCCTCTTCCCCACTTGGTATCGTTTTTTTTTTGCTAAATTGTGCATGGTTAAAGATTGAGGCATCTTTTGATATGAACTAAGACATCAATCATGCAATATAAACTTCAAGGAAGATGTGAAGAAAACGTTGTTAAAATTATCAACATTTGTTTCAATTCATGCCATATTGAAAAAGAATCGAGATTCATTGTTATAAATTTTGGGTGGATCATAATTTTGAGATATGAAGTTTCATTAATGCATTTAAGAACTTTTTATTTACTTTAGGTTACATTTACATGGTGGTTAATTATGGTTATAAAGTATGAATGTTACCATTCTTGAAATGCCTAATGAAAGGTCAAGAGTTTCGTTTTGAGGCTATATAAAACCATATATGTTGTATTTTGAAAGGAGACTTGAAAAATGTAGTAAAAAGACATTTTTGCTTTCGTTTAACAAAGGGCTAAGTTTATTTGCAATTCTATGTAGTTTAGATTGCATGTTTAAAACAATTCAAGCTTGACATGATCGATCTTGCTCGTGGAGTAATTCGAATCTCAAATGAGTATTCTTGCCTTGAGATATTCGATCAACTAGATAATCTAATCTTACTTCCCTTGTAGTGCTTCCATACCATTTAGTATTAGAACTTTCCCTTGGGTTGATTCCTTGTCATCTTCCAATGGATCTATGTTTCTTCATTGAGGCTATGCAAAGAGGCACGTTAGGAGCGTAACGATATTCCTCATTTTTTTTTTTTTTTTTTTTTTTTTTTTTTTTTTTTTTTTTTTTAT